GATGAAGCCATTCTAATAAGTTCTGCATCAACTATATTGAAGAATGAATCACTCTTATGTTAGTATCTACGAAGCTTATGACTGAAATGATCCTGCTAGTAAACTTAATTTAAACGTAACATATTGTATAATCAAGCATAAACCGCATAGCATAAACTATGTTGCACAAATACGAGTATAATAATACAAATATGTCCATACTAAGACGCACTGGCATACTTAATGTATTCAAGTCTTTCCATTAATACACCATCGACTGTCCATCTATCAAGCCAAAAAGATAATTGTAATTTTACGTCATACCGATCCCATCCTCTTCAGTGTTGTGACTATCAAGCCTATCAAAACTTGGTCTTTCACAGCTGTTTTGTGGTCTATACCTACACACGTACTCCATAATGTAGATTCCTGTTCAAAACAATTCTTGATCTTGCATTTGGACTTCAAGAACTGATCTTGCCGTCCAATTCTTATCTTCTGTGATTCATAAGACCGTGGTTTATACTCTAAGATTAACTTATCGTTGATGGTGTTCTAACCGGAGATTTATTTAGTACAGAATAGTACCACCAATGCAATTGCCATTATTCCAAAATTAATCACTTCTGTCACTGCCCGAAATCTCGTGGAACGTGGAGTTGTTTTCATGGCGTTCTTTTCTAAACAACTCTTTGATATCGGTATATTCCAGAATCACATATTCAAAGGTGTCATATATTCTTACTTTATTCTCATGCAATACCAAATGAAAAAAAAAAACCGACTGATTTTTTGAAACAAATCCTGCAACCCAGAGTATCCTATATCTTTGACAATATCTACCCTAACCCAGTCATACTGGTATTTGACTGAATCATAAAGCCTAATTTCGTCGGAAAGTAGCATTAGCATTTTGAAAGGTATATGGATCTTCTGCTTCCCTGTTTAGTTTCATAAAGCTTTCTTTCATTTCTTCTATATTCGATACCGGGACCCCTTTAAAGTCATCGTGGGGTTCAAATTGGTATGGTATCAACTGTGAATCCAACAATGGTCTTATCTTCGAATCTATCTGCTAATATGTCCTCCATTCGCTCCTCTATTTCTTCTTTCAGTAATCAATTTATGGCTGTTGTAGCCATTCAATTTATTTTTGATTTTCATATCTTCGTCTAATATTATGTAAGTGTTAAGCTCAAACCCACGGTATAATAAATGGATCTTCCTCGCTGTTAGCATCTATATATTTTATCGGGGGATGCCGATTAATAACCTTCGGTTAGTATATGTAAATATTCTTAATTTATCGTGCTCCCCATAAAATCCCTTCTTCGGATGCCCTGCTTTTTTCATATTATCTATAAAGCCACCTTCATCTTTATAATTCAATATTATATCTGATGGATTTTCATAGTCCTGGACGGAATAAGCATCAAAAGGGTAACCATAGCTATGTACTTGGTACATGAATGGTCCTCGTAAGATGGCATAAATCAATACGTCGCCATATTCAACTCTTCTATTCAAAAGGTCTTCTTTTACTTTGTTTATGTCACTTGCTTGTACATATCCTGCCACACTATCTCCAAATGAGTCAAATCCTGGGCCTTTTTCGGGATCATACAGGTCTTCTTCCAGACCATACATGTTGTTATTTTTATCTAAAACATAAATCCGAAAGCTACCTCTTAGTCCACCCCATGCTGGTTTTAGAATGGTGGTTAAAATGAAGAGAAACAACAGTATATTCATTTTGTTCATTACAACATGCCTACACCTCTCAACATCCCACGTCATCCTTTAAAAAATCCTCCCATTCTGGCCATTCATCCACCACATATTTATGGCTCTCGTCGAAGATATAAATTCGAAATGCTTCTCCCATAGCTAATTGATATTCTTGTTGCAATATCCTCTATTGTACATATTAGTGTATTTCAATCTAGTATGCAGACGGTTGCATTTCCCAGTCACCTAGGGTTAATGCCCTTCGGTATGCTCTACGCATATGACCGTTTCATCTCTCGTCCGACTAAATAGTGTGAAAAAAAATTTCACCTTTTTGTGTCACCGATCATTTTAGTCTCATAGTGAGGAAGTTTGCGTACTCAAAATAAGTGAATTGAAAAAATTTCAATAATTCTTTTACTCTTTCAATAAAGCAAAACTTAGAGTATGTATAATACCACCATGTCTAATTAGTCGTAATGACATCTAAAGTACCAGTATAACCCGTTAGTATCATTGGAAATAGATAGAACATGATTGAAGTAAAGAGATTATGATTGAAATGAATGATCAACGTAATATTAAAGATTTTTCAAATAACACTTGAAGAAGGAATCAGAAGTAATGAATGCTATAGAGGACATTTTTAAGGATTATACGATGATGGAGGAGATGGATTGTGGAATTCGTACAATTATAACGTAGATATGGAAATGGAAGTGAAGAAAATGTCGAAACGTCGAGTGATACTAGTACTTGGGATAAAGACACGAAATAAGAGTAATATACTAACATTAATAGCAAACATGGGTATTTCTAGAGATTCTCGTCACAAGCGTGCTGCTACTGGTGCCAAAAAAGCCCAATTCAGAAAGAAGAGAAAGTTCGAATTAGGTAGACAACCTGCCAACACCAAGATCGGTGCTAAGAGAATTCACTCTGTCAGAACTAGAGGTGGTAACCAAAAATTCAGAGCCTTAAGAATCGAAACCGGTAACTTCTCATGGGCTTCTGAAGGTGTCTCCAGAAAGACCAGACTTGCTGGTGTCGTCTACCATCCATCCAACAACGAATTGGTTAGAACCAACACTTTAACCAAGGCTGCTATTGTTCAAATCGATGCTACTCCATTCAAGCAATGGTTCGAAACTCACTACGGTGTTTCTTTAGGTAAGAAGAAGGCTGGTGAAGAAGAAACCAAGAAATCCAGAAAGGTCGAAAGAAAATTGGCTCAAAGATCTGGTGCTTCTAACATTGAATCTGCTGTCGAAAACCAATTCAATGCTGGTAGATTATACGCTGCTATTTCCTCTAGACCAGGTCAATCCGGTAGATGTGACGGTTACATTTTAGAAGGTGAAGAATTAGCTTTCTACTTAAGAAGATTAACTGCTAAAAAATAGTTTATTTAGTATCTGATAGTTATAATTGAACATATACGTGTATATTAGCTATTGTAGTAGTAATTGATGTATTTCTGACGAATTTAACTTCTGTATTTGATTCTTGTCCCGACTTTTAGTCCTACCTCTTCATCTCATCAAAAAAAGAAGCTAAGTTACGGCATCTAATACGTCCCAACTATCCTAATGAAGCTACCAAGTAACTAGAAGGTCATTTGAAATGATAACTTACTCATATTCCAAGGGTTACTTCTACATCGGTCGAAAGCTACATACTTTTTGCATTCTACAGTATCAATTCTCCATAATATCATTTGTGGTTGGTGTTGTTATCGAGTTGACTTGATCAGCAATAGATTCAATGTACTCTAAATCTATGTTGGCATAATTAAGCACACACTCAAACATGTTCTCGTAGCCTGTTTCCGTAGATATGTCCATACCTGTTATAACAGATTGTGCTTGGCCTTCCATAGACATAATCAAAGTGCAGTTCCAATTATTGGGATCATCGTGTATTTCATAGTAAGGTCTGGCCTGCCCTATGCTATTAATGATCACCACATCTATGCTACTTAAGTCAAGTCTGGCGTAGCCGTAATCTAAGTTTGATGAAAAAGGGTAAGCAACCAGTGTTGCTAATAAAAGTGAAAATATATATAATACAAACATCTAAATTGTTAGTATTTTCTCGTTGAATTCAAAATATGATATTGTAATATTTGTCAGAAAAGGCAATAATTTTATCTGCATGTATCTATTTAAATAGAATCAGTACAGGTCTGTGTTATTTTTATCATCATTTAAATATCGTATATCTTCATATTATTACATACAATATGGATTGGTGTATTATTCAATAAAGAATAGTAAGATAATTCACGAATTTTTTCATTTTTGTACTGAATTTTTTTTATGGGAAAGTTGTAAAATGCGGGTAACATAGTTTTTAATGAATCACCAGGGTTATCATATATAGCTGATAACTTCACTACATTTGAATAGATCAAACTAAACTTCAGCCTACTTTTGGCTGTTTCTTATGTGCTTTACTTACTTAAAATAGCTTGAATCTGTTATTATAACATACTTATGTTCCATGACAATTGAATCTTTCCACCGAGGAGTTTTAGCATCCATCTTAAAGTATATCCTTCAGAGTAATGATAAACTGTTTAGATTTCTATCGTATGATTATTGAATTGAGCCTTTGGCACTTATATCTCTTTAAGAACTATTGAGGTTCATGTTAAAATAACATAGTCTGTAATTTAGACAATTTTGCAATCTTTTGTCTAATATTCTCAATTTTTTGCAAGAACTGTTTTTTATTTGAAACAAAATAATATTACTATCTACGAATTAGAAGTCTGTGTACTCTGAGGTATTATACCTACATCAGAGTATGATGGATTGTTAATGTCTATTTTTCCTTTCCTTGACATTATATTGATACATGAAGAGTGGATGTATAGTATATACAAGATACAAGAAATGGTTCCAAAAAGGATTTACAACTACTATGTAAACACTAATGACATTGAATCATCTATGCAAAATGGCATGTTTGCAGGGTGTTTAGCTGTCGTTGTTTCTACGCCAGTAATTAATCAAATTCAAGAACCCGCCATTAAAGGTCGTGATCTATTTGAAGGCAGGGAAAAGTTGCCGTATACATATCATTGGTCATTGATAATAATAGCACAATGTTAATGAATCGTCTCACTTGGTATTTGGTTCGACGATTATGTTTGCTTCATTATACTTTCCAACTCAGACAGTGACACCAGCACCACAAGGAATATTTTATTTAACTCAAGGCATATTCTTGTAGGACTTTGTTGTGCCCTTTGGTTTATTAATCCTCCATATTGCACCAGAGTTAGACTCAGCTGCAGTTTTGACTTCGTTCATTTATACATTTATTGTTTCGTTTAGTGATATTGTTCAGCCTGTCAATTTGATGCCTGGTTTTTGGAGGTTTATGAATAAGGGTAGTCTATATACTTACTTCATTCAAAATTTGATAGCTGCCTTTTTAAATGGCAGGAAAGTTCATTACAGCGATGCTGAGTTGGTTTATTTTAATCGCCATACGATCAAACGTGTTGGGAGTTTGCCGGAGACTTTGTTAAAGCCAGAGGAGGTTATTTATAAGACCCACAAACTACTAAGGAGTGTGGGTATTGTAAATACATTATAGTTTATGAGTATTTGAGCTCTATTGGCGCATAGCTTTCCAACACATGGAGAAATGGCTTCTGTTGTGTCTATATCATCTTCAACATTTGTTTTGTTTTAACAATATACGGGTTGTTCAGATTTAGGAAAGGGTCTATTCTTTCTATTTAAAAAGAAGCACTCAGATGACTTCCAAATATTTCCAGAATATTATACATTCGATTAATATAATCATCATAACTTCTAGAATGTAGAAATTGTAAATTTCATGAATCGTATAAAATGTTTAAGGTTGTGAATATGTTATGCAGGTATATGCAGGTGATGGAAGGTTCCAAATAGATTGGAACATTGGCAACTATTAATCGGTAATATTGTAATATACGATACTAGGTAGCTTGAATATGAGCTTAGTGACTCCCTTTCTTGTATATGATATCCTTTTCCCTTGACAGATGAACTTTGCGAATTTTATAATTGTCGACTAATTCTTTTAATTTATGAAAGATTTGGAACAAATTATGATGTTCACAAAATATGGTTTCAAAGAATTGACATACGTAAGTAACTAGAAACTGGCAGATCAGTAAATAGCACATAAACCGATATAAAATTGCAAGATATATATTATCCACAGTCTATAGCTTTATAAATCTTTTAACTCCTGGTACCACTACAATACTTACAAAAGTTTGTGTTGCAAGAAAA